TACCCTTATAACTAATAGAGGGACGGAGGACAAGGATTAAAAGAACTCATCCAATTTAACCATACCCAGTTATAAGCAAATTTGAAGGTGCTGCATACAATCTTATATTATCACAATCTTGTAAATGTGTAAGATGAAAAGGATTATAGAAATTAACAGGGAAAACAATCACCAAATTATGAAACAATGATTTGATAGTGATCCAAGATCCAGCTGATCCAACCATCTGATGCATTTTTGCCGAGCCACACAAAAGACTGTCTGTGCTTCTAAAAAAACTGAACATTACCGTTGATTCACAGCTTCCTTATGTTTCCAGAACGATCCTGTATTGAACATATTGTTTGCACATTAGGGGTGCGTAGATACTCAAAAGCAGAACATTAAGAGTTTGTTTCTACTTACTTCGGCAATGATGACAATACGGTCGTTTCCTTCATTCTCTTCTACTTCTTGCTTAATTCTCACAGCTGAAGCCTCCTGAGATTTGTTGTTGCACCTAATCAACCTAATCGGTTTCAATGTTGGAATATCTGCAAGGCTAAGGGGGATCTCCTCAAGATTGTCACACTTTTTTATGACAAGTTTTTCAAGCAGGGGAAAGGATTCCTCCGAGGCATCCCACCTTGAGATATCTAACCACACCAGTTTCAACAACTTAAGCTTATCGAACGTGATATCTTGAAGGTACCACCCTTCTAAATAAGTATAAATCCATTTTACAAAATCCACATCTTCTAATTGGAGATACTCCAGGCTTGGTAGTCCCGCAATGAAGTAAATCGCGCTCTCCATAAAACAACCTCCCTTAAGTACCAACTTCTTTATATTTGAAGGCAAGTGCAACTCGGACACAAACGACTCAATGGTAAGGTGAAGTATTTGAAGCTGGGTAAGACTCTCCAATATGAGACAAGTATCTTCTACAAACCCATCCACCCTCACAAAAGTGATTTCGAGTTGTTGAAGATTAGGACACCTCCTTAATAACACATCCACCCTATCAACTTCCAAAATTGTAAATCTAACGTGCCTTAGAATCCTCAAATTTTCCAATTTAGAGGATCCTTCAAAGATCCTCTGCCTATCCTCTCCCAAATCAAATTTAGCATTAGCAATCTCAACATGCCTTAATTTTTCCATTTCCCAAAATGAAGCTGGTAATAGTACCGTAGCATTACTCTTCACAATTAAAGTTTCTATATGGGGCAGATGAGTTTCTGGATGAAAATAGAATATATTTGCCCACACTGAGAGGTACTGAAGGTGATTTGGTGGTTCAAATGTAGCTGTTGACAAATAAAGCACTTCATGGGAACTCAAATCCAAGATCTTAAGAAGTCTCAATTCACTAACCTGACGGAAGGGAATCCCGTCAAAAGATTTTCCTTGATTGGTCGTAATCAGTGACCTCAAGTGTTGGTGGAAAGGCTTCCGTGTTTTGGAGCCCAGAGATGCAAACTTGGAAAGCTCTTTACTGAAACTGAATCTCACTCGACTTCCCTTCCAATCCAAAGGTTGCAACTGGCTATCATGCCCCTTGACTGCCAACATAAATTTCTCTTCTCTACTCTTCTCCAAGCAAAATTGAAACACAACATCATGAACCTGACAAATTTTGACTTTTTCATTGTAACTTTTCATTGAAACCATTACCACATTACTACTAATGAGATCCATCAAGTAATCTTCAGCAAATTCAATGTTCTGCACGAATCCTTCCGCAACCCATAGACTTATCAATGTGGACACTCGAATTCTTGCATCCTCAGGAAACATCCCCATATAAAGAAGACAAGGCTTTAAACAATCAGGTAAGTAATCAAAACTCAACTGCATAGTCGCATGACTATTTTCTTCCGACTCACGATCAAGATAGTCAAATAAAGCATCCTTAACCTCATTCCACCAAGATTCTTCAGATTTTCTTTTTTTGATTACTCCTGCTACCAAGACAACCACAAGAGGCAATCCTTTGCATTTTTTTTTGCAATTTCTAGACTCACATATTGTAGTTCAGGTGGGCAACCTTCCTGCTGAAATACTTTTCTCTGCAACAATTGGAAACTCTGTTCTGTTGTGAGGAATGGAAGAGAATAAGGATCAGTATGGTACTTGACTTTCTTACCCACATTCTCAAGTCGGGTTGTTATTACTATCCTGCTTCTCTTTCCAACGTCTGGAAAACAATGCCTTAAGTCATCCCATGCCATACAATCCCACATATCATCCAATACAATGAGATATCTCTTTCCCAGTAGACTTTTCCTCAACATGTCAGCAAGGATGTCATCTGTATCTCCCTTGTCCTTGGAACAGGTAACTTGACTAAAAATCTCTTGTAATAGCTTTCTCCGGTTATATGTTTGGGAAACGATGCACCATGCTCGAACATCAAAATGAGAAACAATGTTGTCACTATTGTACACCTTTCTAGCAATTGTCGTTTTCCCTTGTCCCCCCATGCCTACAATTGGGACGACGTCTAGCTCATTTGTACCTCTAATCAGAAACTGAATCATTCTTTCTGTGTCTTTCCCAAAACCCACTATCTCCTCATCAATCACTGGATTGTTATGTTGAGTTGGCAGGTGTTTAAATGGTGCTACCACATAGCAAGGCTTAAGAGCAACGTCTGCTGACCACATCTCAGTCACCTCCGCATTAATTTGCTTGATCTCTTTTAAGATTGAAGGAAGTGAGCAAAAAATATGCAAAAAAGAATTATACTGAGAAAGAATAGAGTCAATGGCAACCTCAAATTCATATGCCAAATTGATGGTACGTCTATGAAGAACTTTAGAAATTTTATGTTTATGGTGCACCTTTGCGACATTTATGAAAATGAATGACAGCTCCTTCTCTAAAATGGATGTAAGAGATGATAGCTCTTTCTCCAAATTACCTAAAAGAGGTTTCATCAGAAAATCTAAACCAGATTTAGATTTTGTCATCTCATTAAGTTTCCTTGAAAGAGAATCCAGAAAGCTCGATCCACCAAAGGTGGAGAACTGAGATGGAGTGAATTTTAAGGATTTGTAGTACGTCTCCACTTGTGCCTTCAGATCTTTAGTTTTCTCCAATATCTGTAACGAGCAAAGACTTATTTTGCTAGTGTCATCTTTGTTTATAGAGCTAGGAAGAAGTTTTTGGATCACATATACAACATCACCCGCTATAGCTCCAACTTTTTCCATAACCTCATTCAACCAGTTACCATTACTAACATGATTTGACAAATCAGCATCAAGGAAAACCAACAAGAACTCTATTGCCACATCAATATTTTGAGCAGAGATATTATCAGGAAAATTCTCGAGCTTTTTGTTTCTGAGATACATTAGCAGACTGTGGAGATGATGTGAAAATTCTTTTGGCAATTTCTTGTCCTTGAATGTTTTTGATTGAATAAAAGTTTGAAGCCTTTAGTTCATTGAGAAAAATCTTCTTCATTTCCAGCTCCACTAACACAATCAAGCATATTAGATAAGAAGGTTTATTCAAGATACCACACCCATATGGTTCGACCTCATCTTTATGTGTATTATCTACAAAATCAGCAACAACGTTAACTGTAACAGAAAGACAAAGTTGTCCCACATTGCTAGCCATGAACTGAATTCGAGTCTCCAAACATTCCAGCTTCTCATCGTCAACGTAACTATTTATCTCTGTGGCATATAAGTATCTCAAAAATTTCATTTTCTTATGAACAATTTTCAGTTGCATTATAAATCTGAATATTGCAAGGTTTTCTTCAGGAGGGTCATACCTAACCCTTTCCAAGAACATCATTATCATATCATTTAGATTCTTTCCGAGGCAATCCATATATTCTGACAGATCAAAATCATTCAACTCATAATTGTAACTAAAATTGGTATTACCTTCAAAGAATTCCAACAAATGTGGTACTTGCCTTTCCCTAATCAACTCATAACTATACTTATCTACTTTGATATATGAAGTCCCTTGGAATACCCTTCGAAGCATTCTTACAATCGATTTGGCATTCTTTGTGAGTTTGACTGAGGAATCAGAAAAAAGAACACGATGACACTTTATAAAGGTTCTTAAAACTCTTAGCACCATTTCAAGTTTCTCAATTCGATTAATCCTGAGGCTACTCTGGGAACCGTTACTCTTCATCCTTCTTAGGTTAGCTAACATTTCCTCAATTTCATTTTGAGCCATTTTCTGTTTACAAATTCCTGCAAGTTATTCAACTCCTGGAATTAGGATCATTAAGAGCAACATTTTTATTCATGTCTTTCAATATCTTAATGCTTGTGAAAGATTATACATCTCATGTATCATTTCATCAAACAAATGATGTATATTTATCTTTTTCATATGGTCACTTAACTAATAATTATTATCTCATAAAATCACTTAACTAATTCTTTTGAATGGGCCATTTGAAAAAATAATAATCCAACTCTCTATCTATAGGAAAAAAGTAATTCATGAAGAAGATGACTTATACAGTTAGTTAATAAGTGAAACCAACATTAAAAGTTGTATCTTCAATTTTCTGATCCAGTCATTAAAAGGAACAAATATGATTATAATTAACGGCTCTTGGAATTTGGGTCGTAACACAATCTTGTCTCCTACTATCGAGTAAATGAAGAACAAAAAAGGACAATACAACAATAACAAAGTTCAAAAGTTTTAGTGCATAGTAAAATATTATGTCGATGAGCTTAAATCTAAGACTCTTATCAAAACCTTCGAGTTTTCTATGCTGTGAAAATTTGTAAATTTGTGAGGTTTGCTTATATTCAACAAGAAATTTTTTTTGTAGTTGAGTTAATTTTGCAACTCTAACTTGTCATGGCAAAGAGACAACCTCAACCTCAGTGAAGAAAGTTTCCTGTTTCTCCGATGTTAGCTAGAGAGTCTGTTATAAGACAACGACTAATAAAACCAATAATAACAAAAAGAAAGAGTCAATTTGAATTATCACATCCAACATAAAAATCTCTAAAGATGTTGAGGTTTCCTTTGAGTTTTTCATGAACGTAGGCCCGTAATACAAACTAAATGGGGTCTTTCTTAGTACTCTAAAAGACATGAAGAAACTTGCTCACTTCAGAATATCAAGACATGGATGTGAAGGAACTGCCAAAAATAGTATGTGAATCTATTGACAGAGAAGGCAAATGTTTCATTGTGCTGGATAATGTGTGGATGCAAGCCGTCATGAACTTGCTGCAGTAGTCAAATTCAAACAAATCCTCGTGAGTTTAAGAGCAATTAAGGGAAAACAAGCATCAATTAAAAAAGGCAAACTGAAACAATACCATTGTTGTGGTTACAGGCACATACTTGATTCACCAATCCTGTATTGAACATATTGTTTGAACATTAGATACTCAAAAACAGAACATATTTAGGAGTTTGTTTCTACTTACTGTGATAATGAGGTCAATACGGTCGCATCCTTCAATATCTTTGACTTCTTCCTTGATTCTCACTGCTGAAGCCTCCAGAGATTTGTTTTCACACCAAATCAACTTAATCTGTTTCAGTGTTAGAATATCTGCAAAGGTAAGGGGGATCTCCTTGAGGTGGTCACACCTTTCTATAACAAGTGTTTTGAGCTGGGGAAAGGATTCCTCCGAGGCATCCCACCTTGAGATATTTAAGCGCGACAGTTTCAAGCACTTAAGGTTATGGAATGTGATATCTCCAAGGCACCAATCTCTGCTTTGAAAAAAATTGTACGGTTCCAATAATTGGAGATACTCTAGGCTTGGTAGTCCCGCAATGAAGGAAACCAGGTTTTCTATATCAATCCCACATAGTACCAACTTCTTTAAATTTGAAGGCAATTGTAACCCAGATATAATGTTGGGCCTCTCAATGTAAAGGAAAAGATATTGAAGCTGGGTAAGATTCTCCAATGTGAGACAAAATAAATCTGCCGAATTTTTACTGCCCCAATATTCAAAATCGATGTTCAGTTTTTGAAGATTAGGACACCTCCTTGATAACACATCCACCTTATCCCCTTCATCAATTCGAAATTTTACATACTTCAATATCCTCAAATTTTCCAATTCAGAGGATCCTTCAAAGAGCCCCGGATTATCCTCTTCCAAATCAAATTTAGCATTCCAAATCTTAACATGCCTTAATTTTTCCATCTCCCAAAAAGACGCTGGTAACTGTACATTATCCAAATAACTATTTACAATTAAAGTTTCAAGACTGGGCAGATGTGATTCTGGATGAAAATAGAATTTCTTTGCACAAACTGCGAGGTATTTCAGGTGATTTAGTGGTTTAAATGTAGCTGACGACAAATAACCCACTTCATGGGAAGTCAAATCCAAGACCTTAAGAAGTCGCAATTTAAGAATCTGACAGAAGGGAATCCCATCAATTAACTCTAGGTCATTTATCGCTATCAGTGACCTCAAGTGTTGGTGGAAAGGCTTCCGTGTTTTGGATACTAGAGATGCAAACTTGGAAACCTCTTTAATGAAACTGAAGCTCACTCGACTTTCCTTCCATTCAAAAGGTTGAAACTGGCTATAATGCCCCTTCACTGCCAACATAAACTTTTCTTCTCGACTCTTCTCCAAGCAAAAGTGAAGCACTACATCATGAACCTGACAGTATTTGACCTTACCATTATAACTTCTTTTTGAAACCATTACCACATTACTGTGAATGAGATCCATCAAGTAACCTTCAGCTGCCTCTTCCATCAATCTCCCAGATTCAATGTTCTGCACGAGTCCTTCCGCAATCCATAGACTTATCAATTCAGATACTGGAATTATTGCATCCTCCTGAAACATCCCCATATAAAGAAGACAAGGCTTTAAACAGTCGGTTAAGTTATAGTAACTCAACTGCATAGTTGAAAGACTATATCCTTCCGACTCACAATCAAGATAGTCAAATAAAGAATCTTTCACCTCATTCCACCAAGATTCTTCCATTTTCCTTTTTTTGATTATTCCAGCTACCAAGACAACCACTAGAGGCAATCCTTTGCATGTTTCTGCAACTGCTTGACTCACATCTTGTAGTTCAGGTGGGCAATCTTCCTCTGGAAACACTTTTTTCTGCAATAATTGGCAACTCTCTTCTGTTGTGAGGAACCGAAGAGAATAAGGATCAGTATGGTACTTGACTTGCTCGCCCACTTTCTCAAGTCGAGTTGTTACTACTATTCTGCTTCTATTTCTGAAATCTGGAAAAGAAAGCCTCAAGTCATCCCATGCCATATAATCCCACATATCATCCAAAACAATGAGATATCTCTTGCCCATTAAGCTTTTCCTCAACTCATCAGCAAGGATGTCATCCTTGTCTCCCTTGTCCTTGGAACCGGTAACTTGACTCAAAATCTCTTGTAATAGCTTTCTCCGGTTATATGTTTGAGAAACGATGCACCATGCTCGAACATCAAAATGACAAACAATGTTGTCAATATTGTACACCTTTCTAGCAATTGTTGTTTTACCTTGTCCCCCCATGCCTACAATGGGGATTACGTCTAGCTCATTTGCACCTCTAATCAGATACTTAATCATTATTTCTGTGTCATTCTCAAAACCCACTATCTCCTCATCAGTCACTAGATTGCTACGTTGAGTTGGCTGGTGTTTAAATGGTGCTACTGCATAGCAAGGCTTAAGAGCAACTTCTGTTGACCACATCTCAGTCACCTGCACATTAATTTGCTTGATCTCTTTTAAGATTGTAGGAAGTGAGCAAAAAATATGCCAAAACAGATTGTTGTGAGCAAGAATAGAGTCAATGGCAACTTCAGCTTCATGTGCCAAATTGATAGTACGCCTGTGAAGATCTTGAAGAATTTCATGTTCATGGTGCACCTCGACGACATCTCTGAAAATGGATGATAAAGATGACAGATCCTTCTCTAAAATGGATGTAAGAGTTGATAGCTCTTTCTCCAAATTCCCCAAAAGAGATTTCATCAGGAAATCTAAACTAAATTTACATTTCGACATCTCATTCAGTTTCCGTATAATAGAATCCAGAAAGGTCCATCCACCAACAGTAGGAAGCTGAGATGGAGTAAACGTTAAGGATTTGTAGTAAGTTTCCACTTGTGCCTTCAGATCTTCAGTTTTCTCCAATATCTGTATCGAGCAACGACTTATTTTGCTAGTGTCATCTTTGTTTATAGAGCTAGGAAGAAGCTTTTCTATGACATATAGAGCATAACCTGCTATAACTCCAACTTTTTCCATAACCTCATTCAACCAGTTACCATTAATAACATGATTTGACACATCAGCATCAAGGAAGACCAACAAGAACTCTATTGCCACATCAATATTTTGAGCAGAGACATCATCAGGAAAGTTTTCGAGCTTTTCTTTTCTGAGATACATTAACAATTTGTGGAGATGATGAGAAAATCCTTTTGGTAATTTCTTGTCTTTGAAAGTTCTTGAATTAGTAAACTTTGAAGCCTTTAGTTCACTAAGAAAAATCTTCTTCATTTCCAGCTCCACTAACACAATCAAGAATAATAGATAAGGAGGTGTATTCAAGAGATCCTCATACTCATCCACATCCTCATCCTCATCTATATCATTTACAAGATTAGACAAAGCAAGACACAAATGTCCCACATTGTTAGCCATGAACTGAATTCGAGTCTCCAAACATTCCAGCTTCTCATGGTTGACGTAACCATTTATCTCTGTAGCATATAAATATGTCAAAAATCTCAGTTTCTTTTGAACAACTTTCAGTTCCTTTAAAAATCTGTGTATTTCATGGTTTTCTTCAGGAGGGTCAGACCTAGCCCTTTCCAGGCCGAACAACAGTACATCATTTAGATTCTTTCCGGCGTAATCCATACATTCCGACATATCAAAATCATTCAACTCATAATTGTAACTTAAAATGGTATTACGTTCCAAGAATTCCAACAAATGTGATTCTAGCCTTTCTAGATTAAGGTTAGTTTTACATTCATCTGGAATCCCATCCAATACCCAGTTAAGCACTGCCATAGTCGATTTGGCATTCTTTGTGTGTTTGACTAAGGACTCACGAAAAAGAACATGATGATACTTTATAAAGGTTCTCAAAATTCTTAGCATCATTTCAAGTCCCTTAATTTGATCAATCTTGGTGCTATCCAGATTACCTCCACTCTTGATCCTTCTTAGGTGATTTAACATTTCCTCAATTTCATTTTCAGCCATCTTCTCTTGAAAAATTCCTGCAAGTTCACCAACTCTTGGAATTAGGTTCATTAACAACATATTTATTCATGTCTTTCATATCTAGTGTTTATAGCTATATAAGTTGATGCTTGAGAAAGATAGTACATTTTATGTACCATTTTCATCTAACAAATGGTGCATGTTATCAAAGAAAATCATATTTCACTCACTTTCATATGGTCACTCAACTACTAGTCATTTTCTTTAGACAAAAGAAAACTAATATCAATGTGTGACGCTAATGATGGAGTGCGGACCTCTAAGAGTTGGTCAAAGAAAAGGATTGACAAGCATTTAGGTTGGCAAAGATGTTAGTTGAAATCACACATAGGAATTGCCCAAATAGGGGAAGAAAATAATAAAAAAAAAAAGTTACAAATACGTAACACAAGTTCACTACACTTTTGAGATCGACGATGCATATCCCAAAAGCTTGGCTCTGACAAGATGGTCATTATCATTGCTTATTTTTAGATCTCAAGAGCATCAAATGTGTGTCTAAACTGTGATACAAGTCGAGAAATTAAAACAAGTTTCATCTAAAAGAGGGAAAATGATTTTCCTCACTTATAAAAGGGAATCATTTTCCTTACAATTGTCGTAGCTTTTATATTCACAACACTTGCTTTAACTAATACTTAGGTATTATAATATACTAGTATTTAGGCACACGTGTTGTATGTGCACCCCATGATAATGGGTATGAACTATTAAAAAATCACATAAAAATTCTTTAAAATTGTGTTTGAGTTAACAGTAATGTTAAAGAAGATAGAAGAAAAACTGGCATGAGAAAGGGGACTTTTCCTTTTACTTACCTTGGATACCCGATTTTCTATGGTAGGAAGAAGATAGTATTTTTTGAAGACCTGGTGAAGAAAGTTATGAAAAGGATGATGTCTTGGCAAAATAAACTCTTATCTTTTGGAGGAAGATATATTTTGATATCACATGTTTTGCAGTCGATACCTGTATATCTCCTATCAGCCATGAATCCCCCTAAAAGAGTTATAGAACATATTCATAAAAATTTTGCAACTTTCTTCTGGGGTAATACATCAAGTCCGAAAAGAAAACATTGGGTTGCCTGGGAAGCTATGTGTTTACCTAAAATTGAAGGAGGCTTAGGGTTTGGATCACTACATGATACATCAAAGGCGTTGTTTGGCAAACTATGGTGGAATCTAAGGACAACTAGATCACTATGGAGTGCTTATATGGTAAACAAATACAACAAGAAATTTCACCCTGCCATAGCTCAAGCAAAAGGTAGTTCACTTGTTTGGAAAAAGATGGTGGAAGTTAGAGAAGAACTAGAACATTTGATTTGGTGGCAACTTAAGGCTGGAAATTCTAGCTTCTGGTTTGTTAATTGGACTAAGCAGGGGGGCCTTTATTTCGTGGACAATGAAAAGTATTGGATGAGGAGGCAGAAGTGAAACAATTCATTACAAATGGCTATTGGAATGTGCAGAAACTACAGGAAGTCTTATCAGTAGGTATGGTGCAGCATATACTTGATAACATCAGCCCACAACTAGTCAATGTAGATAATGACACATCATGGTGGATGGGAAATTCAAATGGAAAGTTCACAGTCAAATCAGCATGGAATGAATTAAGACGGAAGCAGGAGAAAATACAGACCTTTGACTATATTTGGACTAAAGGGTTGCCTATAAAGATTAATTTCTTTTTATGGAGAGCATGGAAAGGAAGAATACCTACTGACGATAATCTAAAAAGGATGAAAATTAGTGTGGTATCAAGATGTTGGTGTTGTGAGGATCATAAAATAGAAACCATGTCACATATTTTTCTAACATCTCCAATAGCTACTAAGCTATGGAGACAGTTTTCTTCTTGTGCAGGTTATAACATTGAAGGATTGCAACTGCAACAAGTCATATGTAAGTGGTGGACAACTAATCAACCCCCACAGCATTTTCAAAGCCATCCCAGCAATCATTATGGAAGAGAAGGAATTCTAGGAAGCATGGAGGAGATACTACATATAATAGAATGGTATCTCCTCTGTTCCAAAAGATTGGCCATCAATGATACAAGTGCTAAGTAATTACAGACCAAGACTATATCATTGTTTGACACATTGGAAGAAACCAGAAACAGGCAGAATAAAGATAAATACTGATGGAGCAAGCAAAGGGAATCCAGGATTGAGCTTGTAACATCCGACAATTTAAAATGAATATGAAGAAGCTTGAAATTGGAAGTAGTCACTTTTGGAAAAAGTCCAGAATCTGGAAATTTGGCTAAGTTCAAAATCTGGAAATTTGGCTAAGTGTGGAAATCAGTGAGTTTTTTGCCAACTTTGAGCAGTCATAACTCCTAGCTCAGGATGATCCAGGAGTATTTCCAGCTATTTTTGGAAAGTCCCTTGGAACGATCTTTCCAACTCCACTGAGTTTTACTCGATTCCGAGTTCGTATGAGCGAGTTATACCCTTTGAAAGTTGGGCAGTTGGCAGGGAGTCCGTCCGGAAAATTTAAGGGCATTTTGGTCTTTTCCCTAGCCATTTTCTTTTGGGATTATATTGGGTGTTAGGCTTATTTTGGATCATTTTTGTCCCATTTTAAAAGAGAAAGAGTTAGGGTTCTTGAGAGTGAAGAAGAGAAGAAGAAGAGAAGAAGGAGAAGAAGAAGAGAAGAAAGAAGAGATCAACAAGTTTCCGTCAAAGATCACCGTGGATTTTCGTCGGGGGTGATCCCTTTCAAGGTATGCGAGTCTTTAGTGTGGGTTCATCCTTTCCCCCACACACCAAACTCATTTTTATGATTTGAGAAAAGATTGGATTGTGTTGTTGAAGTTATTAGTTGTTGTTGATGTTGTTGATTGTGATGTTGAAGCTATTGTTGATTGGGACATGTTTTCCGGTTGTGTTTTTGAGTTATAATCTCTTGTATGTTGAGAGATTTTATGATCCTTAGTGCTGGTTGGTTCATACCCCCACACACCAACTCATTTTTAACTCCAAGAAAAGATTTATTTTGGTTGTTGAAGTTGTTAGCTGTGTTGTTGAAGTTCTTGCTGATTTGGGACAGGATTTGGTTGTGTTTTTAGTGGAATCCACTGTATGTTGAGGGGTTTATGACCCCAAGTGTTTGGGAAAAGAACCTTTGAAGTTAAGAGGGTTAGAGTTAGCAACATGAAGGAGAGAAGTTAGGCTGCTTTCAGGAAACAAGTCTGCGTCGCGGCTGTGTTCCCTCTGTGAACCAAATCTGCTCTGTTTTCAGAAATTTAATTTCGTAATTCTTCTTAAGTTTAGCTGTCCTATATTATTCCTAAACATCATGGAGTCCTTCCAAACACAAATCATTACCCTTGAGTTCATAATCCAATTCAAGGAGAGTTAGTTCCAAGTCAAGTAAAGTTAGAAGTCAAATGAAGTTAAGAGTTGCGGGCCAGTTTTTCAGAAAAAGAGTTATCGTTTTCTAAATGAAGCAAGGTTGGAAACTGAGATTTCCAAAGGAGCCTTCGGGCCAGATTTTCAGAAAAAGAGTTATGTTTCTACATTTAAGCAAGGTTGGAAACTGAGATTTCCAAAGGAGCCTTCGGGCCAGATTTTCAGAAAAAGAGTTATGTTTCTACATTTAAGCAAGGTTGGAAACTGAGATTTCCAAAGGAGCCTTCGGGCCAGATTTTCAGAAAAAGAGTTATGTTTCTACATTTAAGCAAGGTTGGAAACTGAGATTTCCAAAAGAGCCTTCGGGCAAGTTTTTGAGTAATTATCTCATATCAGCAGGAATAAATATGTTTTTAAAACATAAGAGCCAGTACTTTTTTTTTGGGAGTAGTATCGAGCACCGAATTGGGGGAGCGTTCAAAGAACCCACAGCCCCCATAGAACCATGTTAGCCACCATGGGTAGAAAAGGATCATACTCTTTAGATGAATCCTTTTCATATTAGACTAGTGGATCCATTAGGCAGTTCAGGTCCTATACCTTTGGCCGGGAATAGGATGCTCTGGCAGCGTGAGGTCGATCGCTGTATCATCACTATAGCTCTTATGTGATGGTTGTCGGTTAGAGAAACTCCCACAGCAGTTATTGTATTTTCATACACATACATTATTGTATTTTTTATATACATCAATTCATTGTATTTCTATATACATCTCAGGCTTATTGTCTTTGTACACATACAGTGTTTATAGCATGTTTTAAGCAGTCTTTCTTTATATCGCACTTGTTTTAGATTGCCTTATATTGAAAGAAGTCAGTCAGGTTGAGTTGAGTTGAGCAAGGTAAGCTTTTCAGTTTCTTCCTAGATTCCTTCTAGCCTATGTTGCTTAGTTTTCCTAGCTCGCATACTCGTACATTCCATGTACTGATGCCAGTTGGCCTGCATCGTCTTATGATGCAGATACAGGTACCCCGGATCAGCATCCTGCACGTCATTGATCCAGCTGAGCACTCCAGAGTCAGTGGTGAGCCTCCTTACATTCCGGAGGACTCAATCATTTTGTGTACTTAATATTGTTCTATTAGGATGTTGCGGGGTCTGTCCCAACATCTATCTCAGTATATTAGAGGCTTCATAGACTGACAGTCAGTCAGTTAGTTTTGAGTCTCTCATCTATGTATATATGCAAATATTCTATTTTGAGATTCGAGTTGTCTTTATGGCCATATTTTATAAGTTAAGTTGTTTTGTAATATTGCATTGCATTGAGTTATTATGTTGGGTTAGGTTTCCGCTGAGTTAAGAAAGTCAGGCCAAGGGTTCGCTTGGGCCAGAAATGGTCTCCGGGTGCCGGTCCCGCCCAGGGTGTAGGCTCGAGGCGTGACAGAGCTCTTACAGGTTCTGCCTAAGGAATGATAGAGGAGATCTATTGTATGCAGAGGCAGGACAAATAGGGGAAAACACCAATATGATTGCAGAAACCATAGTAGCACAAAAGGCAGTGCATTGTTGTTTATCAAGAGATATACATAATGCAAGAATAGAAACATGAGATTCTTTAATACTAAAGAACATCATCCAGGAAGTGTGGAAAGTGCCATGGGAAATAGTACAACAGGTGGAAGAAATAAAGAATACAATGCAACAACTACTGATGGAAATTACACACACATACAGGAAGCAAATCAGTTAGATGACTATATTACAAGCATTGCACTTGAACAAGACAACCCAGTCCATTACCACAGTTTTCAAGATCTCCCCACCAAAGGACGGAAGATATTGAATTCGGATAAATCACAAATTCCAATCCTCAGAATCAGAACTAGAAAGATTACACAGTCCTAAACAAGACCAAGCAACAAATGGGGGCTAGATCAAGAGGAAATACAACAAGAACAAAGTCAGTCATTATACATCTGTAACCCAGAAGAAGAAAATGGTGATTAAAAATGTTCAGTTCAAGTCAAGAGGAGTTACCAGCGTAGCAGAAGCCAGTGGCTTTCCCAATCGATGTTCAAAGATTTGGAACTAGGCTGATGTCCTACAACAACACCGATGGCTTGAAGTTTATTACTAACAATTCGTTTTCTCATCATCCCAAATATGGATCGACATACAGAAGGAGCACATCCTTGCAAATCATAAGCAGAACATTTCAGACCCATCTCCAAAGACTTTCCACATATTTCAAGTTTATTTATTTTTTGTTTTTGTTTCTTCTTTACCGTTAGCTTTCTAGGAAGTTGTAGTTGTTTTTATTAATTCAATAAAAGCCTGACCCATGTGGTCATATTAATTTTTTTTTTAAAAAGAGTTAACAGTAACATAAAAGAGTTCAAATATGCCATCAAATTTTGGAAAAAAGACTCGTTTATGCCACCCGTTAATAGTTGGCTGACTCAATCATGCCACTGCATTAGAGAAAGGGTTCATTCGTGCCATTATTTTTTAACATACAGGTTTGACGGTTAGCAAAACCGTTCTTTCCTCTTATTACAGGTCCACATCACTAAAATTAAACTGATCAAAAAAGTTCAAATATGCCATCAAACTTTGGAAAAAGGTTCATATATGCCATTTGTTAATAATTGAGCTCAACCATTCCACTGTCATTATAGATAGGACCCATTCGTGCTACTTTTTTAACGGCCAGGTTTGATGATTTCGCAAAATTATTTTTTTCATGTGGCCTCTTATTAGAGGTCCACATGCAAAAATAAACCAACCTAATTTAATTAAATTTGAAATTAAAACCTGACTCAAAACACCACACTGGACCCACCCTAACCTATTTCCCCTTTTATTTATCCCCCAGACCCTTAGATTGATCAATTGACAAGAAACATGGTTGAATTCAACTATTAATGAATGGCATAGACGAACATCTTGTCACAGTTCAATGGCATATTTGAACTTATTTTTCGACCAGTTTAATTTTGGTGACATGGACCTCTAATAAGAGGCCATATGGAAAAAATAGTGTTGAAAAACCACAAATCCTGACCGTTAAAAATCAATGGCATAATGGGTCATTTATGTAACGGCAATGACATGATTGAGCCCAACTATTAAATGAGGTTTTTTTTCCTCAAAATTGGATGACATATATGAGTTTTTTCTCTACTAATTATTATTACAGAGAAACAACTAATGCATTCCCAATGACTAATAAAAAAAAGTGTGTGTGGAAGGATAGCATGACTAGTCGCTCAGTTGGTTGGATATCAGAACTTTCACCTTTTGAGGGTTCAACTCCCTACCCCAAATTTGTATCTATAAAGACATATAACCAGCCATCTGCTGTTGATCACTTTTTTTTTTTTTAAGAAGAAATTTAAAGAGGAAAACAAAAATAAAACACTTCTTTAACTGGTTCAACAGAGCATAAACTAATTATTATGTCTGATATCCATTTTTTTGTTATCTAGACCTATATCAGAAATTAAAACACAAGTGTTTTTGAAGTGCCATAGTGTTTCATACAAGACAATCATAAAATGTCTACATCAAAACCATATTCACAATATTTGAAGTGCCATTGTGTTTCATGAAGTTTATTGGTAAAATGGATTAATAACTCAGGTGTTGTATCAGTTTAAGAACTTGGAGATTTTGGAAAGCAATAGAAAGTTAATATTCAATATATCTTACAATTTTCGAGCGTGACGAGTAGTCGATTGATCGATCTTCTTTTGCCTTTTTGTATCTCCAATTAGTTCTGATCCAATCCTAGAAAAAGAGTTGTTGATAACTTATCTATAAAGCAGATTCCACTTAAGAAAGGATAAAAATTCAAAGGGAGATTTAGAAAAATGTTTATTGAAAAATACCTGATAAAGATTGAAGTAGGATTAAGCTAACAAGAAAAGATTAATATGAACATAATTAACTTGGAACAATGAGGAAATGTTTGTGTCATACTAGAGAACAAGATTGGTGGATGAATAATTATGGTTTAACCAAAGGACTGGATCTAAATCCTACAAAAAAGGCAATGGTAATTTTATTTAATGAATAATTTTGGGTTTATCATATTAATTTTTAGACAGCTAATACATTGTCAGGTTAATATGCATTCCCTTTGGCTTTCAAAGTCAATGGTTGCATTATTTAATGAAATAACATGGCTTATGCTATATGCAGAGAGACAACTAATTAATTGGAAGGTTGGTATCCATTCCCAATGATTAATCAAAGTGTGTGGAAGGAGAGGACAGTTGGCTACAGAGACAACTAATTAATTGACTACCTGAACTTTCACATTGTCCTTTATTAATCACATTGTCGTTCTAATTACTGCAAATAAATCAGTTCTACTTATTTAGTCTTATAATTCACACTGGTAAGTCATAGTTTGATGGATAAATTCAGAGACGTGCGCCACCATTGTCCTCCTGGAAAGCTGAGTAGGGGTTTGACAACAAGTCATGATATGTATTTGGCTTCATATGATGCTCAAACTCTCCAAAAAAATTGTTGTGCCCATGTCGGATCCTCCAAAAATGTAATATGTGGAAGTGACCACATTTTTGAAGAGCGTGAACAGCATAGATGCAAATTAGATTTCATACAGGAATACTCATCTTTCAATTCAACTTAGTATTCTCTGGAGGTGTTTTTTGTATTCAACCAGAAAAACAACTTGTGTACATATAAGGTGTAAGATGAAGGGATTATAGAAATTAACAACCACCTAATTAGAAAAACAGAAACGAAACAATGATTTTGACAGTGATACAGAAGGCAACAGTAAAAGATCATCTGATAAAAAGAGTTGATCAATCAAAACAAACTTAGCAATCGGTACTGGTGTTACAATATAAGAGGATGAGCATGTACGTTACAATAGACTCTCTGAGCTTTTGCTGCAGTTGTCAAATTCAAACAAATCCTCATGCTCAATTAAGCGAAAGCAAGCATTGAATTCCATTGTTGACAAGCACATACTTGATTCACAGCAGCCTTATATTGCTTCCCCCATAATCCTGTATTGAACCCAGGAGAAAAGCTCGGTATTTCAGAAAATTCAGACCGAAGGAGAAAATGGAAGAAACGACACCGTTAAATGTACCGAGGATAAAGCTAGGGTCACAAGGACTAGAAGTTTCCAGGATCGGGCTAGCTGTATGAGTATGTCCGGTAACTACGGCCCGCCCAAGCCCGAGCTTGAAATGATCAAGCTACTTCATCACGCTATTGATACTGGAGTGACCTTACTCGATACTTCTGATGTCTATGGACCTCTCACTAATGAAATCCTCATTGGTAAGGTGAAGATCCTTTTTTAAAACAAGTAATTAGTTGTACTTCTTGCTTACTTTGGTGTACCTGTCTGATCCTGTAGTGATTTTATTGTTCACTGCGAAAAAAATGAAATTTTATGATTAATTCTATGAATTTTCAGGTTTAATTGGAGTTAAAGTAGATATCTTTATCTTTTTTAAAGTGTAATGAAATCCATTTAATAATCCTCTACAAAAAAGTATGGAGTTTTTACCAAACGGGTGTCCTAGTGGTCGATGATGTGGGTCGAGAACCATGAGATTTCAGGTTCAAATGGTAGTGAAGGCAAAAATTAGGTGGATAGAGTTGTGGGTACCCCTTGGAATGACTTGGAATAGTTGAGGTTCATGCAAGCTAAGCTGGGACACTGCGGTAGTTAAATGAAAGTATGGACTTTTTGTATCTAAATAGTAACAAGTATATCCTTTCTAGATTCTTGATTTTAGATTTGAGTTCAAGATTAGCAGTTTTAGATTTTTTTTACCTTAGAGTCTGTAAAATATATTATTTTCTGCAATCTTGTAGTTAGAAATTAGTCATCAAAGCATAAAAAAGATATTAGTAATATATAGCCTTTGGTTATTTACAATATAGGTTGCTCTTCCTGCACTTGCTTGTTGAGAGTTGTCGATTTTTCAATGTTATCATATGGGTTAGAATTGTTTATGCTTAATGCGAATTCAAGTTGTACTTTTTCATCTGATACCATGGCCGCTAAACACTCTATAAAGTAGAGCATTTATCCTGTTCTTCTATATACTTGATTTACATAAAACTTGGAGTATCTCAAACTGATAAATCTTCCAGAGACTCGAATCTGTATCCTCGTAAATCTATGCTTTACATTTTGAACCTGAGTTTTACAGGTATATAATATGTTCATGTTAAACTACCTGATTTCATGTAGGCTATTAAAGGCATAAGAGAGAAATTACTAATAGCTACCAAGTTTGGAAATAGGGGCATTTGTGGTGAACCTGCATATGTAAGGGCTTGTTGGGAGGCCAGCTTGAAGAGACTGGATAATGACTGCATTGATACTCAGTTGCCAATTGAAGTCACGGTTCAACATCTTTGCTCCAAAAAATTATTTTTCCAGTGTACTTCCATCACTTTTAAGTTTTAAGAAGTAGTCATGTTGTATGATTTGTGTGTCTAATCAGGTGAATCCTATTTCATTGATCGTCGCATATAGAGCTTTTCCCCAAGTTTGCCATCCAAAAGCACTACTCATACTTGGTTTGATTGGTATATCAACCCATGTTTTATGTGACAAACCTTGTTAAGTCTATGCTACTCTTTTCATTTTTGCTTCTCGTTGTATTTATGCTTTTTTTTTTTATAGTCATTCTACGAACTTCTTCAATCTATGATAAACACTTTCATAACAAGTTATCTCTGAAATACTTATAATTGGAAATGATTTTCAAGACAACAGGTTATCCCAACATTTGTGAAGTTGATTTAGTGATGTCGTTTCATAAAATAGTTTCTCGCAATTAGGTTATTGTCTTGTCATTCAGATCCTCTGATTTATGCAATTATCTGAAGGTAGTAATTTCAATATTATCTATGTGATGCATAACTGCGGAATCTGCAGTATCATTACTCTATTTACCAAATTGTGCTGTATATGTTCTAACTAGTATCTGGAACGTGCGTTGCACGTTTATCCCTTATTAGTTTTATTAAAAAAAAGGGATAATGCATAAGTACCCCCCCAGCCTATGCCCGAAAATCCCAGAGACACACCTAACCTTTACTAAGGTCCTATTACCCCCCGAACTTAATTTATCTATAATATTCTACCCCTTTTCGGCCTACGTGGCACTATCTTGTGGGCCCAGTGCACGTTGACAAATTTTTCAAGGATAGTGCCACGTAGGCCAAAAAGGGGTAGAATATTATATATAAATTAAGTTCGGGGGGGTAATAGGACCTTAGTAAAGGTTAGGTGTGTCTCTGGGATTTTCGGGCATAGGCTGGGGGGTACTTATGCATTTTCCCTAAAAAAAATTATATTTATAAAGTTCAATTATAAAATAAGAAATGCAGAAATTAACAATTTTAATTCTGATTTAGTCTCTAATGATATGGATATGTCAATGAATAGCTAGTTTTTTCCAGAACAAACAACTCAGTTATTGAAGTAGTTTGCAATGAGTTTCTACTCGAAAAAATAATAAATAATACATGTAAAAGTCTTTGACGAAAGTAGCAAAGACATGAAGAAGAAATAAATTTAATTCTAGTTATTGCTGAAATCACAAATATAAAGAATATTTTTCATTTTTTCTGGTGCTTATATGAATTGCATTCTTTTTCTTTTTTTATATACAGTACTATTCTTTAAGGGTGTGTTTGGTATGAAGGAAAACATTTTTTCATGTTTGGTTGGATTAAATGTTTTGGAAAATGTTTTCCAAATCAACTCATTTTCCTCAAATTTAAGGAAAATGACTTCCCTTCAAAACTTAAGGAAAACATTTTTCAAAACTCTCTTCCAACTTCAAATTACAATTACTGTTTTGTTGAAAAAATCAATTTATTTTGTCCATACCCTCAAATCACTCCCCCAGCCACCCCCTCCCCCCCCCACAAGAAAAATAAAATAAAATCTAAAGATTGTTTTTAAATTCAATTTTTTTACCCCACCTTTACCCCATCCCCTCCCAAAAAAATATTTAAAATTATTTTTAAAAGATATTTCTAATTTCAATTTTTTATTTTTTTTACCCCCACCCACTACCCTCGCCCTAGTTATTGCTGAAATCACATATATTAAGAATATTTTTCATTTTTCCAGGTGCTTATATGAATTGCATTCTTTTTTTTTTATATATACAATACTATTCTTTAAGGGTGTGTTTGGTGTGAAGGAAAATGTTTTCCAATTTTTTCATGTTTGGTTGGATTAAATGTTTTGGAAAATGTTTTCTAAATCAACCCATTTTCCTCAAATTTAAGGAAAATGACTTTCCTTCAAAACTTAAGGAAAACATTTTCCAAAACTCTCTTCAAGACAACAGGTTATCCCAACATTTGTGAAGTTCCATCCCTAGTTGAGTAGTGTTAATTATTGTGTAGGGTTTTTATATTTTTAGTCTAATATACTACTAATTATATTAATATTTTTTATTTAATCTATTATATATGTATAACTAAAAATTAAAATAGTAAATTATTATATTCTTAATGGGTTATCGGTTAAGCCAATAACTCAATATTAAAAAACCAATAACGAACCGATAACCCGATAATTCTTTTTGTAAAATCATTAAATAACCGTTAACCCAATAACCCAATAACAATAAACCAATAACACTTTTTTCGGTTCGATTTATCGGTCGGTTCGGTTTTTGCACACCCCTAATAAATAGTTCTAATTTAAAGATAATCATTCTTTTTTCATATCAAGCACTATACTGCTAAACATACTAAGATTGAGGTTTAAACCACACCTACATATATTAAAACAAAAGATATACCTGGAAAAAAAAAGAATCTCTAGCATAATGAAAATGATTGGAAGATGGGAGAAAGAAAACTTATTGTATACCTTTATAGAGTTTTGTAATATAAAGAATATGAAAAGGTTGTGGGAGAAAATTATTAATGAAAAAAATTATATAAACATTGATCAACACTAACTAAGAAAAATATGATTAGAAACGTTTTTGGATTGTAATCAAGTAGATTATGACTGTCCATCTTCAATCTTTAAGTATTGAATTTAGTGTAAAGCATTAAATGCTGTTGGAATGAGTTTAACTGGAGAAACTAAAAGGATCAATAATTAAAGCTCAACAAAAAATAGAAAATTGTTTAGCATTTTCTAATTTAAAAAATTAGTGAAGGGCATTTTAGTAATTCAACTTTGAACTCAAAATCTTCCCACTTTTATTATAATATGATCAACTAGTTGTGTGATATGATAAAACATCAAAGAGAGAAAAAAACGAGAATGCAAATTGAAATGTGAATAATCTCTAGTGGTGAGTGTTCTCCTTTTCAATAAGTCTTACGCGATGAAAATTTAAATTAGTCAGATTATTTGGTATAGATACTAAATGAGACGAGAAAGATGAGATTGTACATCATGAGCTAGATCTAAGATTTAGGCAAGAAAAGAAAAGGCAATCTGTAAAAGAGAAAAGTGAATAATCTCTGCAATAACAAGCGTTTCCACCTTTATTAAGCAAATCAAAATTTTGAAGAATGTACCTATTATCACGAGATAGATCTAGAGGTTAGCCATCAGATCTCAACTCATTCCATAGAGTGTGGTAGGAATTAGGATAGATGATATCTAGCTATCAAATTATATCCTAAACAAAAATATTTAATTTGAGCGCTCTAGAGATGTATCTGAATTAATTGGATCAGTGAATTACAAATACATATGAAATGATTAAACAGAAAGAAAAAAAAATTCATCTAAATTTAACATACTTACAATGAGAAAAACTTGAAGATCACCTCCTCAATCTGCCAAAAGCCTCCCTAATAGAAGATATCACACATAATAATAGGAGTATTTAAATAAGAAAAAAATTTCATTGAGCATTTATTACTTAACAGATAGAGTCAATGAGAGAAGAATATTGACTAATGACTATATTAAAGAATTAATTAATCATGGATTAAGTTTAATTAAATTAGATTCTCTATTCATACAGTTGGTTATGATGTTGAGATAATTTTGTTATTAACAATTCTAGGTTTAGTACTGTTTAATAAATCATTATAATCTTTGACCATTTATCATCCCTTTCTCATCTGTAAATTTTTTATTTTTTATTTTGATGAAAAATAAATAAAAAGTGGTAAGTTAGTGTAAATGTAAAAGTTCATAATCATATATTGGAAAATTTAGCAGTCATTTGGTACTTGGTAGGTGTATATAGCAAGGAGGTCTGATACACAAATATATTATACGTGAGTAAGTTAGTTATACGAAAACGTTATATATTAAACACAAATATATTATATGTGAGTAAGTTAATTATACGAAAACGTTATATATTAATTTATGATGATAGGGTATATGAAATAATAATAAAAGACTAAATTTTTATTCCATTTAAAAAATAACCACATTTTATAAATTGTTAAAAATTATATAAACGAAAATTAAATTGTAAATGGTATTCCAATTATAGTTTATAAAATTGGGGCATCCAATATTAATAGGTGTACATCTAGTCAATTTTTCTATGACTACATAGTATTGTATAAAATTTCATGGAATTGTTATTTTCTCCATTGACTCATGACTAATTGTAATTGATATTCGAAATTCTTTTGATATGCTAAGTTGTTGATCAACTATAAGGTAGCAAAGGTCACTCTTAAAAGTGTAGTTTTATGATACGAAAATCGTTATCATATGACGGAGAATTCATATATCTAACATTTGAAAAACATGACTTTAGGGCAAAGATTACGCTAATTTATGCTACCGTATGGGCAGAGAAGGAGAGTTCATATAAATTTCTAATCAATAGAAATTTGTTGGAAATTTGACAAAAGGAAACTTCAAAAAGTACATTCATCTAGAATTTGGACAAGTCCTTTGTAAGAAAAGTAAAAAGTAAAATATTTGAACTTGTCAATTAATTAACTACAAAGACAACAGACTATTTTTCAACACATTATTGATTATCTTCATGTTTCAATTTAGAATCAAACCAGAAACCATTTTGTAGGTACTATAGTCAGACCTCCATCCTTTATAATAATATTTTACTATCATAACTATATTTTTGTGATAATCAATCTTTCATATTATATTATATATACTATATGTTATTATTACATATCAATTTGTTATACTAGTCAAAACCAATATCGAATCAAACAACATTGTTAAGAAAAGAGATTTTGACTATAGAATAAAAAAGGTCTACATGTTTTCTGGGTCAAAGATAACCTTAAATACTTGTCTTTCCAGGTGTAAAGAACACATTGTCATTTAGTACACATGCTAGTCGATAAATTCACGCTAAGTAAATTTATTCAAAGTAAAACATTATCTATTAATCAAATATTTTATATTTAGAGCTCGAACTCTACCCCTTTATTCCCTTCAAATTTCATATCTAGTCAAACACAATTTGACATCAAAGTAAGTAACGTAAAAAATCCTTTATCTCCATTTCTCATTATCATTTGTAAATTGAATTCCTTTACTTTATAACCATTTTATGGTTCATAATGAGTTTCCTCTCACATTCATACCATACCAATACAATGTCACTATCCAAAGACCTTTCTTACCTAAATACTTGCCTCAACGTTGTTTTTTGATGGAATTCGTCGATTTAAAGAGACTAAAGGAATTATTGTTAACACTTTTTTCGAGCTTGAATCGTTTTCTCTTCAGGCTCTTTGGGGTTCTAAGATGGTTCCAAAAATTTATCCAGTTGGTCCAGTGGTTAGTTTTGAAAAAAGTGGTCATTTTCGAAATAATTCATTGGAGATTGAAAGTATTATTAAGTGGTTAGATGATCAACATGATTCCTCAGTTGTATTTTTGTGTTTTGGTAGTATGGGAAGTTTTGAAGCAGAACAGATCAAAGAAATAGCAATTGCACTGGAGCATTGTGGTCACAGGTACTATTAGTTGTATTTTTTTTTACCCTCCTGTTTCAAGTTTCTTGTCTGGTTTACATGTAGCACATAGTTTTTTATGAAAATAGAAAAGATTTTTGAATCTTGTGGTCAGTCTGAAACGAAAGATAGGTAGAATATACCAAAATGTCTTTTAATTTTACAGTTTTAAACATGTCATATGGAAATTTAAAGTTAAAGAGTTGTCAAAAAAGAAAACAGAATAAAAAGAAAAATAAGACAAACAAATTTAAACGTCGGAGGGAATAACATAGTGTACATACATATAATGCATTTGGTAAAATGATAAAAGGTTTCTTTATTATTAACCAGAGATGTTGTGTTCGAGCCTTGTGAATGAACTCTCATAATTTACAACATTTATGATAATAAGGATTCATTAAGGGTTGTTTTCGTGATGCAAGTTTTTTTTTTTTTTTTTAATCTTGAAGTGGCTTGTTAATATATCTCTTTAAGGAAAGTTGTTTTCACCAATAATGTTCAAGACTCTCCAAATTAATATTATGTCGTGCGCACCTGTGTTGGATTCTCCAAAATTACTCTATTTTTGGAAAATCCAACACGTACATGTCGGCATTTTTGAAAAATCTGAGCAACATAATTTTTCACACCTCAAATATCCATTCCTAATTTTGTTTTATTGTTATTTTCAAATAGGTTCTTGTGGTCTTTAAGAAAATCTCCACCAAAGGGAAAAGTAGATATACCAACAAGTTACAACAACTATGAAGAAGTTTTGCCAAAAGGATTCTTAGAGAGAACAAAAGAAATAGGAAAAATAATAGGATGGGCACCACAAGTAACAATTTTATCTCATCCATCAATAGGAGGATTTGTGTCCCATTGTGGATGGAATTCAATACTAGAAAGTGTACATTTTGGTGTACCAATTGCAACTTGGCCACTCTATGCAGAACAACAAATGAATGCATTTTTGTTAGTGAAAGAATTAGGACTTGGTGAAGAGATAAAATTGGACTATGTTGTTGATTTTGAAGGAAAAAACAATCAAGTTGATATAGCAAGTGCTCAAGAAATTGAAAGTGGTTTATTAAAGTTGATGGTAAAAAGTGAAGAGAATGAAGTGAGGAAAAAATGAAGGAAATGAAGGAGAAGAGTAGAGTAGCTATGGAGGAAGGTGGATCATCTTATAACTCTCTTGGACTTCTTATTAAGGATGTAATCAGAAATATTTAATTTTCTTATAATATGAAGAAGCAAAAAGAAGAGAAGATATATGGTATTTGAGGAGATATGTAGTATCATGATTTATGGTCATTTTCTTAATATTTGTATACTTTTACTAATATTTATTGAATGTTTTCACTTTTCATTATAGTTTTATTTATTTATTTTGTATTTCTTTCAAACAATTTTCGTGATCCGAGTCTATCGGAAACATTCTTCTTACCTTAAAAAGATAGAGGAAAAGTCCGAGTATAATCCACCCTCCTTATAGACCTCACGTAATTTATTGATTATACTTGATATGTTATTATTATAGTCGATTCAAAGAGAATAAAGAGCACTGAATATTTGTGTTTAACTAAAATTTGAGTATACACGCATATCACTTTAACGCTAGTACAAATTAAGTATTTAAAAGTATATATAATATGTATAGAATATTTCACTCGATGAAGACAAAAATTTTTAATCATATTATGTATTATAATAATTCTATTTAAATTTAGCACAAAAAAAATAATTACTCTCACATGGAATGCTCCTTTTCAATTTTAATTCCAAAATATTCTTTTTTTTTCCAACTAACTCTAGCCAAATACTAGTCCAAACACCTACTGGTCAAACTTTGGTGAACGTATGCTCTGAGCTCACTGTTCAGACGGAGATTCGCCGGAGAAAATGGAAACGCCGGCGAGTGAAGTTCCGAGGGTCAAATTAGGCTCGCAAGGCCTAGAAGTTTCTAGAATCGGGCTGGGCTGTAGAGGCATGTCTCCCAATCATGGCCCGCCCAAGCCCGAGCCCGAAATGATCAAGCTCATTCAACACGCCATTGATCGCGGCGTCACCTTCCTCGATACCTCCGATCAATATGGACCCCACATCAATGAACTTCTCATCGGCAAGGTAAAATAAAATGTAAAAAATTACTGCTTTAATTTGTTGTACCTCCTTATTTGTTGTGTTGTACCTTGCTGCTTTCCAAGTTGTAATTACTCCCTTTGTCCCAATTTATATCAAAGGTTCGAAATATGATGGTTAAAACTTAATTTTAACAGTGAATTCGGCTATAAATTCTTCAAAATGTTTAAAATGAAAATTTACATATATGAAAACGACTATACAAGTCGATATGGCTAATGATTCGATATTTAAACAAAATTTATGAAATGGAGTCAAATGGATTATTTTTTTTGTTCTAGATATCAACAACAACATTTTCTAGAATTATTTGCATCTTATCAAATTACTTAAATGAAGTTTCCAATAGCATAGACACTAACTGAGGTACTTAAATATGTGCATTCTAAATTTTATTTGTTTAGGCAATCAAAGGAATGAGAGAAAAAGTACAAATAGCTTCCAAGTTTGGCATAAGTTTGATAGAAGGGAAAATGGACATTTGTGGTGATCCAGAGTATTTAAGAGCTTGTTGTGAAGCTAGCTTGAAGCGACTAGATATCGACTGCATTGATCTTTATTATGTTCATCGGATTGATATCCGAGTGCCTATTGAAATCACGGTTTGACATCTTACTCCTATTTTTTTTTCCATTTATTATATTTGAGGATTTCTGGCAAACTTGTTGTAGTACTATTCTGTTGCTATCTGTTGTTTACACTAGTATCTGTTGTTTCTTGTATTTCCGTTACTTCTTTTTCTAGACTACTATGAACTATTTTTCCTTGAGTTGAGGGTCTATCGATAACAACCTTTCTATCTCTACGAGGTAGGGGTAAGGTCTGCGTATACACTATCCTCACTCAGACTCCACTTTGTGGGACAACACTAGGTATGTTGTTGTTGATTTCTAACGAATTGTTGGATTGTGTGGTTTGTGTAAAGAGGTAACAGTAACCAGTTAATCACTTGGATAAAAGCAGATTTCACTGGATATAGCTCGGCTAGAAACCGCAAAAATCTTCTAGTCTTTTAAAAAAAGAAATTGATTTAATCAACTGTGTGGGAAATGGTCCCGAGCTATTTTACTTGAATCCGCTTTTATATTGCCAAACTGACATATTCATGAAGATCTTCTGATGCACTATATTTTTCGGAATCTTCAAAAGTGTTGATGGAGATGAGTGCGTGTAGGATCCTTCAAAGGCAGTACTTTGGCAGAGTCCGATCAACATATCTGATGTGTTGTTTGTCAATCCATAAGATAGAGTCAGAGACGGAAGAATGTTCTACTGACAGTAGAGAAAAAAGGGGTGTACAAAAAGGTTGAATTGAATCTTATGCTATGTGAGAAATGTTATGTGTTTCTCTCGAATTCTCGGAGGATAGGCCAATACTTTGAAATTTTTATGTTGATAAAGTTTACTTAGTAAAAGAAACACTCATCTATGCTTACTGTAATTTCGTAGTTGCTCCAACTATGAAATAATTTTTCTTTATGTCACATTTATACACTCTACACTGTCACCGACAAAATGCTTTATGATGAAATCACAAACAAAGGTCAGCTGAGACCTGTACAGAAATAATCATGGAGATCAGGATTCTAAAAAAGGTTGAATTTTTTGTGTAGCATTCAGTGTGAGATTTCTTGACAATTGACATTTTAAGGAGAAGAAGCAGCATCACTGTTAGCTACTACTACCGTTTTTGAAAGCATCACCAAGTCAAAATTAATCATCTTTTGTTATAAACAAGTAGTATAAAAGAGATAAAATGTCCAGTGGATGAAAGAATGTCAATAAAGACGATACTCCTGTCAGATAGAAAATCAACATTTTGAGGCTTAATGTAACAATATAATCGGGCATTTTGTTTATTGTGGTTATTGTTATTGTTTTGTTGTTATGATACTGTGTGGCATAGTGTGTAGATGGGAGAACTGAAGAAACTGGTTGAAGAGGGTAAAATCAAATACATAGGTTTATCCGAGGCTTGTGCAACAACAATCAGAAGGGCACACGCGGTGCATCCAATAACAGCTGTTCAGATGGAGTGGTCTTTGTGGACCAGAGATCTGGAGGAAGAAATAGTTCCAACTTGCAGGTAATGTGTCTCTTAGAGTTCACTCTTTCAGTTAATATGAAGGTTCTTCTGAGTAAATGCCTTTTCCAGAGAATTAGGAATTGGAATTGTTCCGTATAGTCCTCTTGGACGAGGATTCTTCTCAGCAGGTCCAGAGTTGATTGAGAGCTTGGCCGAGGGCGACTTCCGCAAGGTTGGTCTAGTTAATTGCACTGTCTTCGATCTTGCGTGATTTTCATTTGCATTTAGCCATTTACCTCAATTAGCTGCATATCATAGGCATCATTTTCCTTTTAAACCAAAATTCTGTAACATGTGTCATTGGCTTTTTGTGAAACCCTCCAAGCCTCTCCTTGGGAGAGTTCAATGTTAGCATCAACGTTGTGACTTTCCTACTCTGAACCAATGGCTTGCTGATTAACTGAGCTCGACCAATCTACCAGTATTGATCTTGATGAGATTTTGTCAGTATTGATGAATTAAGGTTACGAAACACATGCTCCCTTTTGAATAAGGCGATCTGAATACAAGATCAACGAGTCTTAACTTCTAGTGCAAATTCGGACATCAAAGAAGAACACTCTTTATAAATTAAAATGCTTAGAGAGTACAAAAAAGGTACTCCTATCCCACAACGAATGGCGGATCACAGTGTCATGATCAATGCATCCAAATTTTTGGTATATCTGAATTATAGAAATTTTACTAGAAATCACAATATTTATAACTAGAATGATACAAAAGTAGAGTTGTTTAAACGAAGTTGTCATCAAAGAAAAAACTGTTTTGACTCATTGGTACTGGGTAACTCTATCCATCAAGGCATAGACAGATAGAAAGAAATCACCTAGTGTTTTTTATTTGAACTTGAACCTCACGGTTCTCAATCCAGTTTGCCAACTCATCCTTGTCGCTCGAAATCTCTTCTGATACAGCATGTTATGATTAACGTATAAAACAATACATATGATCGGTATGGTTGATGTATGTTTCTTTTATCATTTGTTTTTTTCCAGAATATACCAAGGTTCAAGCCTGAAAATTTTGAGCAGAACAAGCAAATATACGAGCAAGTCAAGGAAACAGCATCAAGAAAGGGATGCACCACATCACAACTTGCATTGGCTTGGATTCTTCACAAAGGAGATGACATATGCCCCATACCCGGTACCACCAAGATTGACAACCTCAACGAAAATATTGAAGCCATATCTGTAAACCTGACAACTGATGAAATGAAGCAGTTAGAGTCCTGTGCTGCTGAAGATATGGTTAAAGGTGAAAGGCACGCATTCATGTGGGCAACTTGGATAAATTCGGAGACTCCACCATTGTCCTCCTGGATAGATGAATAATGGATACTTTCTCGTCTTGCTTTGGAAGAAGCCCCGTTAAAGCCCAAGTCTAATTCGAAGTAAAGGCTGAACCCGGGCTAATGGCAGTTCAGCATTACTTTCTAGCAGGTTAAATAGAGACTAGGATTTACAAATCTACAATGTTCTGGACAAATGTATAAACACAGTGTGCACACAATGTAGTTTGCTAGTAGTCTGAAGTTCTTTCGCTAGTGCATACCTTTATATCCAAGTTTTACCTGTATTTGTGATGAAAATTTATTGTTATCCCCTGTGTACCTTTGATCCTTTGAGCGATAGAGCCCTTCCACACAAGACTCCTGAATCACTCCAAGTCTCGATTTTTCAATGTTATCATATGGTTTAGAATTGTTTATGCTTAATGCATATTCAAGTTGTACTTTTTCATCTGATACCATGGCCGCTAAACACTCTATAAAGTAGATCATTTATACGGTTCTTCTCTATACTTGATTTACATAAAACTTGGAGTATCTCAAACTGATAAATATTTCAGAGATTCAAATCTGCATCATCGTAAATCTATGCTTTACATTTTCTACCTAAGTTTTATAGATATGTATAAGTTCATGTTAAAGTACCTAATTTGATGTAGGCTATCAAAGGAATAAGAGAGAAAGTACAAATAGCTATCAAGTTGTTATCCAAAAGTACTACTTGGTGACATTTTTGAAGAGTCGGAACAACATAGATAGCTTTTGTACATGTACTCAATACTTATTAATGAAGTGAGATGTATGTTATGGATTGCTCCAAAATTATTTAGTACTAAGCTATCAAAACTTCCATTCAGTATTCTATTGATTGATAATAGGGAGGTATACTTGTATTCAACCAACTTTCAATTGTATACTTTATTTGAATTTTGCAGGTGTAAGATGAAGGGAAACAACTATTATATTACAAAAAAACAAACAAGAAGCAATGTTTTGATAGGTTGTAAAATAATAAAGCTGCATAACAAAGGCAACAAGAAATCACAGTGAAAGACCATCTAAAACATACAGATAAAGGACAGGGATTTCAGCTCTAGGTGCACAATATACTTGAGCATGAGCATGGCTGCAACAATTGGCTGTACTTCTGCTGCAATTATCAAATTGAAATACATCCTCGTTAGTTTGAGATCAACATGGAGCAATTAAGTGAAAGCAAGCATTAAATTAGAAGAAGGAACAAGAAAAAATATATACCATTGTTGTGATTACAGGCAGGTACATGTTTGACTCACAGCTGCCAGATGACCCTAATTATAATTCTGTGTTATACATATTGGTGTCAAGTTAGATGCATGTAGATACTTAAAAACAAAACATAGGAGTTTGTTTCTACTTACTTCGATAATGAGGTCAATACGGTCGTTTCCTTCATTCTCTTCAACATCTTTCTTAATCCTCTCAGCTGAATCCTCCAGAGATTTATTGCAGTCAATCAACTTAATCTGTTTCAGTGTTGGAATATCTGCAAAGCTAAGGGGGATCTCCTCGAGATTCTTACACCCTCTTATAACAAGTGTTTCAAGCAGGGGAAAAGATTCCTCTGAGATATCCCACCTCAAAATATGTGACGCCGCCAGTTTCAAGACCTTAAGTTTAGGGAACGTGATATCTCCAAGGCACCACTCTTCTGAAGGAGGAAAATACACATCTTGTAATTGGAGATACTCCAGGCTTTGTAGTCCCGCAATAAGGTTTCCTATATCAGTCCCACTTAGTACCAACATCTTTAAATTTGAAGGCAATTGTAACCCAGATACAGTGCGGCGCCACTTAGAGGTAAGGCGAAGTTTTTGAAGCTGGCTAAGATTCTTCAATGTGAGACAAAAAGACTCTGCAGAACAATTATCGTCCCCGAAGCGGATGTGAAGTTGTTGAAGATTAGGACACCTCCTTGATAACACATCCACACTATCAATTGGAAATCTAAAAATATTCTTTAATATCCTCAAATTTTCCAATTTAGAGGTTCCTTCAATGACCCCCTGCTTATCAAATTCAGCATATTCGATCTCAACATACCTTAATTTTTCCATTTCCCAAAAAGACGTTGGTAACACTACTATATTTTCCCAATCATTATTCACGATTAAAGTTTCAAGATGGGGCATATGTGATTCTGGATGAAAATCAAATTTAATTGCGAAAACTGCAAGGTACTTCAGATGATTTAGTGGTTTGAAACTAGCTGACAATTTATACACTCTATGGGAACTCAAATCCAAGACCTTAAGAAGTCGCAATTTATGAACCTGAAAGAAGGGAATCCCATCAAAATATTCTCCGTTCGTTATCAGTGACCTCAACTGTTGGTGGAAAGGTTTCCGTGTTCCCAGAGATGCAAACTTGGAATGCTCTTTGACTTTCCTTCCAATCACAAGGTTTCCGTGTTTTGGATTCGGTTGGCTTTCCTTCCAATCACAAGGTTTCCATGTTTTGGATCTCAGAGATGCAAAGTTGAAATGCTCTTGGACTATCCTTCCATTCACAAGGCTTCTGTGTTTTGGATTCCGTGTTTGGTTGAACCTCACTCGACGTTCCTTCCAATCACAAGGTTGAAATTGGCTACGATTTCCCTTCACAGCCAGCATAAACTTTTCTTTTCTACTCTTCTCCAAGCAAAAGTGAAGCACTACATCATGAACCTGACAGTATTTAACCTTACCGTTATATTCTTTCTTTGAAACCATTACCACGTTACTGCTAATGAGATCCATCAAGTAATCTTCAGCAGATTCAGTGTTCTCCACGAATCCTTCAGCAATCCATAAACTTATCAATTTAGATGCTGGAATTCTCGCGTCCTCCGAAAACATCCCCATATAAAGAAGGCAAGGCTTTAAATAATCGGGTAAGTTATCAAAACTCAACTGCATGGTCACCAGACTATATTCTTCCGACTCACGATCAAGACAGTCAAATAAAGCATCTTTCACCTCATTCCACCAAGATTCTTCCATTTTCCTTTTTTTATTATTCCAGCTACCAAGACAACCACTAGAGGCAATCCTTTACATTTTTCTGCAACTGCTTGACTCACATCTTGTAGTTCAGGCGGACAATCTTCCTCTTGAAACACTTTCTTCTGCAACAATTTGCAACTCTCTTCTGTTGTGAGGAATGGAAGAGAATAAGGATCAGTATGGCACGTGACTTGCTCACCCACTTTCTCAAGTCGAGTTGTTACTACTATTCTGCTTCTATTTCCAACGTCTGGAAAACAAAGCCTTAAGTCATCCCATTCCATACAATAATCCCACATATCATCCAATATAATGAGATATCTCTTTCCCATTAGACTTTTCCTCAACATGTCGGCAAGGATGTCATCCTTATCTCCCTTGTCCTTGGAACCGGTAACTTGACTAAAAATCTCCTGTAATAGCGTTCTCCGGTTATATGTTTGTGAAACGATGCACCATGCTCGAACATCAAAATGAGAAACAATGTTATCACTATTGTACACCTTTCTAGCAATTGTCGTTTTCCCTTGTCCCCCCATGCCTACAATTGGGATGACGTCTAGCTCATTTGTACCTCTAATCAGATACTGAATCATTTTTTCAGTGTCATTCCCAAAACCCACTATCTCCTCATCAGTCATTGGATTGATATGTCTAGTTGATAGGTGTTTAAATGGTGCTACCACATAGCAAGGCTTAAGAGCAACGTCTGTTGAACAAATCTCAGTCACATGCGCATTAATTTGCTTGATCTCTTTTGAGATTGTAGGAAGTGAGCAAAAATATGCCAAAAACATTATACTGAGCAAGAATAGAGTCAATGGCAACTTCAGCTTCATATGCCAAATTGATAGTACGCCTGTGAAGATCATGAAGAATTTCATTCTCATGGTGTACCTTGGAGACATTTCTGAAAATGGATGATAAAGATGACAGATCCTTCTCTAAAATGGATGTAAGAGCTGATAGCTCTTTCTCCAAATTCCCCAAAAGAGGTTTCATCAGGAAATCTAAACCAGATTTAGATTTCGACATCTCATTCAGTTTCCGTATAAGAGAATCCAGAAAGCTCCATCCACCAACAGTGGGGAATTGAGATGGAGTGAATTTTAAGGATTTATAGTACGTCTCCACTTGTGTCTTCAGATCTTTAGTTTTCTTCAATATATGTATGGACCAAAGACTCATTTTTCTGGTGTCATCTTTGTTTATAGATCTAGGAAGAACCTTTTGAATTGCACATAGAATATCACCCACTATAACTCCAACCTTTTCCATAGCATCATTCAACCAGTTACCATTAATAACATGATTTGACACATCAGCTTCAAGGAAAACAACCAAGAACTCTATTATTGCTACATAAATATTTTGAGCAGTGTTATAATTAGGAAAGTTCTCGACCTTTTTGTTTCTAAGAAACATCAACAGACTATGGAAATGATGAGAAAATCCTTTTGGTAATTTCCTGTCCTTGAAAGTTCTTGAATGAGTAAACTTTGAAGCCTTTAGCTCAGAGCGAAAAATCTTCTTCATTTCCAGCTCTACTAACACAATCAAGAATAATAAATAAGGAGGTTTATTCAAGATATCATACTCATCCTCATCCTCATCCTCATCCTCATCTTTATCATCTACAAAATTAGAAACAATGTAACCTGAAATAGCAAGACAAAGTTGTCCCACATTGTTAGCCATGAAATGCATTCGAGTCTCCAAACATTCTAGCTTCTCATGGTTGACGTAGCCCTTTATCTCTGTGGCATATAAGTAAATCAAAAATTTAAGTTTCTTTTGAACAATTTCTTGCTGCTTTATAAATTTGTGTATTTCAAGGTTTTCTTCAGGAGGGAAAAACCTAACCCCTTCCAGTAACATCACCAGTACATCATTTAGATTTTTTCCGAGACAATCCATATATTTCGACAGATCAAAATCATTCAACTTGTTATTGTCACTTAAACTGGTATTACCTTGAAAGAATTTCAACAAATGTGATTCTAACCTTTCCAGATTAAGCTTAGTTTTGCATTCATCTGGAATCCCATCCAATACCCGTTGAAGCATTTCCACTGTCGATTTGGCCTTCTTTGTGAGTTCCACCAAGGAATCATGCAAAAGATCAACATGATGATACTCTATAATGGTTCTAAAAACTCTTAGCACCACTTCAAGTTTCTCAATTCTCTTAATCTTGTAGCTACTCAGATTACCTCCATTCTTGATCCATCTTAGGTGATCTAACATTTCCTCAATTTCATTTTGAACCATTTTCGGTGAAACAGTACCTAATTTCAATTTCATTTTGAGCCACTTTTGTAGAAAAATTCCTGCAAGTTCACCAACTCGGAATTAGATTGATTAAGAGAAACATTTTAATTCATCTGGTGTTTGGAGCTATGTTAATTTAGCTTGTGAAAGATTATACATCTTATGTACCATTTCTTCTAACAAATGGCGCATATATATTTAGCATTTTCATATAGTCACTTAACTAATAGTTATTATCTCATAAAATCACTTAACTTAACTAAGCCTTTTGAGCGGACCATTTGAGAAATCAACTCTCTGTCTATAGGAAAAAAGTAATTCATGAAGAAGATGACTTATACAGTTAGTTAATAAGTGAAACCAACTTGTAATTTTTTCTTCTCTTATGCCTCTTTGTATCTTCAATTTTCGGATCCAATCATTAAAAGAACAAATATGATTATAATTAATATTGAAAACATGTTTCCCTATAGAAAAACTATTTAAATGATTCTAGAGATGTGACATTGAGCCAAACTCAACCCCTAAAGTGTAACTCATTAGGAAGGATTATTTAAGTACATATGAGCAAATTACCAGTCTGTTTCCCGATCAATGTGGGACTATAACACCCCTGTTTATATTCAGACCCAACTGGAGCATGGATCATGTGTCCAAACGAGAATGGATCTTGCTATGATACCTTAGAAAAATATGACACCAAGATATAACTCAATCTAAAAAGCTAAAAGTTTTATATACCAATACGAGTCTACTGTACTCGTGTCTTGTATAATTTGTTTCTCCTTTTTCATTCCTTCTTTCGTTTACTTGGCTGTAGGATAGACTTGGTTGAATGGAAAAGAATTTGTTAGCTTTATTCATTATGACTTGTGTATTGAATTCCTCGTCAAACTAAGACACTTAAATTAGGAAGAGAGGGTATATATATTCAGAGGATACGGAATTCCTTGAAGTATGAAAATAAATTATTAATCAATGGAACTCACCTCAATCTTAACTTATCAAATCTCCTGTTGCTCCTGAGTAGCTCAGTGGTTGATCGATCGATTGTTAACTGATTGGTCGTAGTTCCGAATCCTATATGGCACAAGGTGTTGTCTAGTACAGAGAGATGGGTGAGGAGATCAAACAATAATTAGAGTTGGCAATGGCTCAAACAGACTGGAATGTGTATTGTATGAGTTCTGAATTATTGCATTATTAATGGTAGATAAACAACAATCAGTGCTTTATTAATTCATGTTCCGTTTATAAAAAAAAATGTTTGTGATTAAAAAAATTTCAAATACACAAAATCTTTCTTTTTGAGTTCGGCATTATTATTGAAGAGAAAAGGAGAAAGCAGAGAGCACTAAGGGAAAAAGTGAAAACATTCCATCAACTTTCCAATACATACACTTTTCTTTTTGACCCCAAGTCTTCTCCGTGGGCCCGGCCGATGTCTTCTTAAATTAGAATATAAAAAGATATTTAAATAATTTTAAGGCACATGTAAAGCTAGTAAAGAATGCGAAGATGCCATTGCCAAGACTAAGGGAACAATACGTTTGGAGTTGATGATCAATAACACATACATTTGGTAGCGCAAAGGATCAGTGTGAACATCTATTGTGTTTTCTGTAACGGATCTTGGAATTTGGGTCGTAACACAATCTAGTCTCCTACTGTCAAGTAAATGAAAGAATAAAAAAGGACAATATGTGGGGCAGTAGTGAAAAAAAATATTTCAATAGCTGCCACAAATTACAATAATTCAACAATAACAAACTTCAAAATTTTAAGTGCACAGCAAAATTTTTGTAGTTGAGTTTATTTTGCAACTCTAACTTGTCATGGCAAAGAGACAGCCTCAGTGAAGAAATTTTCCTGTTTCTCCAATGTTAGTTAGAGAGTCTGTTATGAGACAACGACTAATGAAAGCAATAACAACGAAAAGAAAGAGTCAATTTCCTATGCAATCTTACCGAATGAGCAAATCATTGTTCATGAACAAAATCTCAAAATATCCTAAAGCTCCGCATTGATGAATCACATATATCCATGACATACATGGGTAAGACAGGAAAGATCGATATTATGGCTCAGTACAAACGTTATATTAATTGACTTTTTCACAAAAAATGATCTGTTCAAAAAATAAAACACATGAAATCCTTGTAGAGTAGAGTTAGTTTTCTTCTTTTCAAATTGTAAATGGTCATTTCCTAAGAAGAACATAACAGAAAGCAAGAAAATGTCTTGCCCACTCATTTTACATAAAAATGAAATAGAGAAAGTTGTTGTACAACATCATCAATTAGCTTTATGATCTTCAACCAAAATAAACTCAAAACTAAATTAAAAATGTAAATGTTAGATGGAAAAAAAAACTAGAATAATCCAAAACAATCATATACGTAGTCTTCAAACTGGAAAAGGAAAAAAAAAAACAAAGAGAGTTTACTTTTTAGCTTTAAAAAACTAGTATGAAATTTACTTCCTTATGTACAAATTTGAGTTTCTAAGAGGCAAAATAATGGTGACAAAAATCCTTTTAAGTCAATCTTCAGCTAAAGTGCTTCCTCCCATTTTGTTATTGACTTGATTTCTTACATCCACATTTGCAGTTTTCAAGTTCTGTATTCAGATTCTGCATAAGAATAAGAAAATGTGAAAAATATATTTCTACTACTTGAATCACACAGCTATAAAGGTGGGGAGAGAAAATTTATCATTTTTTTTGCAAAATATATTAGACATCATCTATCCCAAAAACATTAAGGTTAAATTGTTACGGTTTTGGTGTAAACATCATGTGAGAATATAAGATATGTTGCTCGGGCCAAAATTGTTGTACTAGTGTTCGATCATAGCTTTTGGAGGATTTAACTGTCTCTTTGAAGAGTCCGAGGAACATAGAGTATAAGTAATTTAGGTAAAGCGCCAAAGCAGTAAGGTTGATCAATTTAATCACTCACCTGAACCTGATCTTGAAGGGTTCGAATGTGCTGTACTGCTAGATCCCGCATGTCAGCGTAGCTCGTTTGCTGCAAAAACAAACAAGGAAATATTGTTAATATTGGAGTGTAGCTCGTTTTCTGCGATAAAATTTGCAGCTCAAGCATGTTGCAATAAGTGCCAACTGAGAAAATATTGTGAAGTGGAACATAAGAAAAGAAAGCATACAATCAAGATTACTGAAAGACTAGTTTTTTGTTTACACAAATCTATAAATATTCAATAAATTGATGGTTTAACAGCATTTTAGCACGTCAAGTAACAATTATCCAATTGAATAGAAGTCTTGGAAGTACCATTTGCCACTTCCAATTCTTGTCAATTTCTTAAAATAAAATTTAAGTAATAAGAAATATGACTTACATGTAAATAAATAAATAAAAATTATACCTTTCCGCCAATAATCTTGCGGGAGCCTATTTAGAATTTTTCTCACTAAATTACTAGATTGAAATTCAATTTGTTTATCAAATTAATATCACCGTTCAACAAAAAAACACCTACAATAAAATAATCAAATCTCATATAAGTAAAACAAAAAAATTAAAGCAATATATAAGCTATCAAATGCTATTTTAGAAAGTTATAAAAAAGACTCTGATTTTTGGTTACAAAGATGAACATGCTTCACCTAGTTAATCCCTAGCCCAATTATACATATAAATATAATCATTTCTTTTGTAACACAATTTTCTAATGCCTCTATTTATAGGACATAATAGGAAATACCAAAAGATATCATGAACATTTACATCACTGTTAGTATAAATTAGGAATTATGGTTATTAAAAGTCAGGGGTAATGGAAATAAAGACATTAGGTTTTAATATTAAATAATATGAATAAGTGGAGTAGTAATTCACACATTCATTTTTATACAATAATAATTTTAAAAAATAGAAAAAATTGTCAAAAAAATAGGAAAAAGATAAATAGAATCATTGGCCAAAGCGAGGTGCCACCGTCACTTTTCTTTTATCTAGCTTTATATTATATATAGATTTTATTAAGAGTAAAAGGAGAATTTTAAAGCAAAATTATTTCTAATTATAATAAGGTAACATTCTTTTTGGGACGAACAAAAAGAGAAAAGGATGCCACATAAAATAGGACATAGTGTGTATATTATTTGTCTTTACTAGGAAAATACACTAAAATCCCGCTAAAATTATATCCGATTTGATACCAAATTAAATGGAACTTTTATTTAATGCTATTTTTTAAGTTGTTACCTTCTAAACTTTAATTATGAATATGACCCATGAGACAATATATTGGTACAAAAGAAGTCTACTTTTTATTTTCTTCAAGCAGGCATTTTGAATCGAACTTCACTTTATTGCTTGAGAAATTCGAACATTTCCTGAGGTAATACTCTTTGTAAACAAATCCATCAGTTTAATTTTCGAATATGAGTTAATTCCCTATACGGTCATCCAAGTATTGATCTCACTAAAGTCAGTACTACTGAATTTTTCTTCCATATATATTTAATTTACCTTTAGTATTCTATGCTGCTAAAATTTTATGTTTATTGGTTGATGATTAATGAAAGGTGTTATATTCAACCAGAAAATAACTTCAGTAGGTATATCCATAAATGAATTTTGCAGACGCTGCTTAGAAATTAAAGGGGAAAATACAAATGAATAAAGCAATCACACATGCAAATGGGACCTATGAGATGACTTATCAAGCAATACTAGAGTCACATGTGAAGTACTTTGCAATTCTCTTTTACAATAAATGATAAAAAATAATAATTACAAAATGTGCAAAGACTTTTTGACCCCAAATTTTCCTCCTATGTTTCATTAGATTATATATTAGTTAGAAAAATCACTTAAGCAATTCAAAAAGGAAATGACATTTAGGCCTAACTTAATTTTTAAAATTGGCTCATTAGTGGAGCATTGTTTAAGTAGGTGTTTAAACATGTGAATCAAATAATGAGTTGAAATCAGCGTTTGAACATATAATTCTATCTCATAATTTTAAATAATGAGATGAAATCTCAAATTTTCCAAAAAACTTGATTTAGAAATTTCATATCATGATTTCACATTTTTAATATACAAAAATTAACTAACAAGTTTATATTTTGTTAAAAATAAATTATTTTATATCTACCAATCATTTATTTCATATTTAAACAAAATTTATAATTGATATTATTATGTTTTACCAACATTTAGACCATTTATATCAAATATAATAATTACTCTTACCAACCAAATTTTTTATTCATGGAATATAAAGATGATGATCACTACAAGTCTACAACAAAAACATCTATTAGTGGCAATAAATAGTGATAAAACTTTTATCGACATTAGTTAATTATCCTTAGATCTAATGTCGTTGTTGGCTTTAGAGACAGTTAAAAATATTGTTTATTACCTCTAAAAATACATATTTGCAACAATTAAGCTATTGTCGTTAATTAATTATCACTATAGATCATTTTTTATGTAATTTGATATAGTTATTAGTGATATTGACTAACAAACGACTCAAAGTAACAATGTTGGAAAATTGAGATGGAGTACTGAACTTTAAGGATTTGTAGTATGTCTTCACTTTTACCTTCAAATCTTTAGTTTTCTCGAATATCTATATCGAGTAAATAATTTTTATACTTAAATTAGTTTTGCATGTGTTGCATAGAAGGTTAAAGAAGAAAAATAATGCATAGACTTGTTGACCCCATGTTTACTGTACTAGTGTCTTGTGTTACTCAATTTTTTTCATTATTCCCACGTTATCTTATCTGCACAAAGCGAAAATTGTCACATATATGCCTTTTTTAAAAAATAATGGAATCAAATGGGATGATTTCCGAACAACTTATTATATCGTTCACCTCACACCAAATAACTCCTAATTAGTTGAGTGATTTTACTGTGTAATTTCACATACTCAAGGATTTTTAGTCACTCCTATTTAACCAAAGATTTCAGATTTGGATTCCAATAAAGATACATTTATGAGATCACATATTAGGTGAAACTAGAAACAAGTTTATTGAAATGAAATGGGAAAATGTTTAAAAGTAGAAGAAAGGTCAAATAGATGAGGTAATATATGATTCTTATCCTCAATAGAAATAGTGATCAAATGACTTGCTGAAGGAACCAATGATTTACCTCCCTAGAGATAACGTTTAGCCCTCCTTGCTTGTACTTATCCCTGTGGTGGACTTGCCTGGACTTTGAAAGTCGACACGGGCAATAAAAATCTTTAAAGACCCTCAGGTTTCCTTTGAGTATTTCCTGATATTCGGGGTCTTTCTTAGCATTCTGAAAGTGTTTAACAAACTCACTACAGAATATGTGAATTCATTGACAAAGGAGGCAAATGTCTTATCATGTTGGATGATGTTTGGACGACAGACGTTGTGGATTCCGTCATGAATGTTTTCCCCAGAGACAGAAAAGGCCACCGAATCATGATCACCACTCGTGACTGATGGACGTGTTAGTATATATGACAATGCTTTCGAAAGTTTCCAATTAGATTGTTGGAAAACAGAGTTTTGTGCACGTTAATAACAAAAAAAATCACTTAGGAAGGTGAAGTTTGAGGAGTTAGCTGATGGTGGTTTCATCTCTGAGGTGACTGACGAGCACATACGCTATACTGTCGGAGATTTCAAGCTACAGCCATCAAGATACAAAAGATGAAGGGATCATATAAAAATTCACATGGGATATATGTGCAATGCACGTGTCCTGAAACTAGTTATAGAAAATAAAAGGTGAAAACAACGACCAAGTTACAAAAGCAAGTGATGATATTTATATAGGGCATCACAGTGGAATAGCATCTGAAACATACTGGGAAAAGAGAATCAAGGCATAATCCTTCCCTTCCCAGTAGGAATGAGTCGTCTATGTCGAACAATAAAAAAACCCTTAGCAATCAGTAGTAGTGCACAAGGATGGATGTTTCGGCAAATAAACTCCAGCATGAGCATGGTTACAACAATTTGCTAAGAGTGAACTCGGTCCATGCTGTTTGTGCTTTTGCTGCAGTTTTCTGAGCAATTGTCAAATTCAAACACATCCTCATTACTTTTAGATCGACATGATGGAGCAATTAAGAGAAAGCAAGCATCTTATCCCGAAAAAAACATAAAGGAACAAGAAAAGAAACTGAAAGACTACCATGTTGTCGTGACAAGTACATGCTTTACTCACAGCTGCTTTGGATTTCGTCACCTATCCTGTATTAAACATACTGTTTGCACATTAGATGCATATAGATACTCAAAAACAGAACATAGGAGTTTGTTTCTACTTACTTTGATAATGAGGTCAATACGGTCATTTCCTTCATTCTCTTCAACATCTTTCTTAATCCTCACAGCTGAATCCTCCAGAGATTTGTTCTCACACCTAATCAACTTAATTTGTTTCAGTGTTAGAATATCTGCAAAGCTAAGGGGGATCTCCTCGAGGTCGTCACACTCTTCCATAACAAGTGTTTCAAGCAGGGGAAAGGATTCCTCCGAGGCATTCCACCTTGAGATTTCTAACCACGCCAATTTCAAGAACTTAAGGTTATGGAACGTGATATCTCCAAGACACCAATCTCTGATTTGAACACGATCCTGGTTGTGTAATTGGAGATACTCAAGGCTTGGTAGTCCCGCAATGAAGGAAATCAGGTTTCCTATACCAGTCCTTCTTAGTACCAACTTGTTTAAAGTTGAAGGCAATTGTAACCCAGATACAATGTGGGGTCCCTTAAAGGAAAGGTCAAGTATTTGAAGCTGGGTAAGATTCTCCAATGTGAGATGAAGATAATCTGCAGAATGTCCATCAAATTCGACGAGAAGTTGTTGAAGATTAGGACACCTCCTTGATAACACATCCACCCTATCAATTGGAAAGGTAACAATATTCTTTAATATCCTCAAATTTTCCAATTTAGAGGATCCTTCAAAGAGCCCCTGCTTATCAAATTCAGCTTTCCTAATCTCAACATGCCTTAATTTTTCCATTTCCCAAAAAGATGCTGGCAACACTACTGCATTTGTCCAATTATTCTTCACAATTAAAGTTTCAAGATGGGGCAGATGTGATTCTGGATGAAAATAGAATCTCTCTGCCGAAACTGCAAGGTACTTCAGGTGATTTAGTGGTTTCAATGTATCTGAAAACAAATAACACACTTCATGGGAACTCAAATCCAAGA